TTGGAACTATCTAACTTAAGCTCGATAACTATGGAAATAAACTTGAGAACGCATAAATATGCTAAATAATTAGTAGACTTGTATCTGCCTTCAAATTACTAAAAACTACGTAATAATATATATATATTTTTTTGTAGACTAATTTCTTTTCTTTTTTTATATCTTTCTTCTGAAAGAACCTCAGATTGCGAAACGCTGTTTTAAGTTATAATTTTGTATACCCAACGAGTCATAAACCAGAGGGTCGAAACCCATATTGTTTCAAAAATGCTTACGCGAACTATCTGCGTACTTAATTTGGTAACTCGCAGATTAATTTTGCCGGTGGTGCACAATTAAGTGAGCCTACACGATATTACTAAAAATTCCGCTTGTATTTCATAACACCGCCACAAACGAACAGGTTCGATTTTCTGGGCCAATTTCGTCTGTCACTTTGCACAGTCGCCGTGTATTGTCGGTAATTAATTGTCGGTAATTAAATGTCGCGGCGAAAAATTAACACGCGGAATGGTATTTGTCACAATTAAATAAGACGTCACTGCATGCACGACGTGACACGACAAAATGACACGAAAATTCGAAGAGTTTCAGTCAGTAATTCGTCTACTTACGTTATCGCACACGCCGAAGACAAGATAGACCCGACCCCGTCCGGCTGAAGTCTAAGCCGTACTGAGCGACTTGGAGCGTTGCAGCACCGCGGACTTGTTCTCAGGAACACACGCGTCCGACCTCTACGAAAATAGAGACAGACGCGATTGGTATTATACCAACCTAACGTCCGACCGAATCACAAAATGTGTGTTCTATCAGGCGATCGAGAGTGGCGTCATCTAGCTGACGTTCAACAGAAAATCTTATCAGAACACTCGATTACAGTCAGGCTTATCATGGTTGCATCCAGAAATCCACCGCTCACTAAGCTGTTTTGTGAGCGCTCACGGAGCGGCTGAACCTAAAGATTTTTTCGTTCCAAAACATGGCGACCAGCTCTCTGCAGCCATTAGCTGTTACCGGAGACCTATCGACGGAATTTTATATCATTTTTATGTTAACGATAAATGGTTATCATTTATACTTTACATTCACAATCTGTTTGACATTGGTTGCTGTACCTATTGGTCCAGATTCGCTGTTACAATTCACCAATCTTGCACGCATGTGTTTTTTTTTCTATATCACATTTACATTGTTTTGCATTAATTCCTTTACATGTCTGTTTATGGCCCCCACTGATCCCCCTGTAGCTCGGGTACCTCGGGATCGCTAAGCCCGTACTGTAGCCACAATCAAACATAACTACAGCCCCTGAGGGATATTTATAAGAGTTAAACGTACTTATCGAAAACACGTCGTAAAATTTGTATCTAAATAAAAATCTCGAAAACAAGTAGAAGACAAATGTTGCCTATCTCCGGTACAGAGTAGACTTAACATCTGAAGCAAAGTGGTGCCATGCGAACTGACGTATCGACCTCGTGGAGAACCTTCGCGGCGCACTCTATGTACAAGGATGATAAACTGTGAGCCATAATCAACCGGACAACCGAAGTCGATACAGTAGATTTAAAAAAAAATGTAATTACCAGTGTTAAATGAATTATGAAATATCATGTAACAGATAAAATAAATATCGAGTAATACTAATGTGCTCGAAATCATAAAAATATTATTGAATTTAATATGTGGTAAAGAAGAATGATTATTTTGTAAGATATAGCTAAAACTAGTATTACAGGATGGAACATTTTAAAGAGAGGTAAGGTGTTGACGTAAAAAATTATAATACAAAAGTTAAACAATAAACATATTATATTATTCTCGTAATAAACACTCGACGGTCTCACATACACGATTGTCATAATTACTCGCATCCTTCATGACTCGAACAACGCAATTGAACTCGTAACATACCTAATTCTTGACTATGTACTCTTAACGCAGAGGAACTCTGGGCATAACTGAAGATATGAAACATAATTACGTTAATAGGCTACCAAGTGCTTATTTTGCTTGCGAGTTGTACGTGGCGTTAGAAATCAATGATTAAATGGGGAACGGACAATAGCAAAGATTTTGTAATTCATCCTAAGACTGCTAGATTTTGTCTTAATCCTAGGACTTCTTTAATTTCAACTGATCTCGCGAAATACTAGCAAACAGTGAGCGAACTATTTTTCTTCTGTAAACACTGTAGATTCATCCAATTAAAAACTGATAAAATTGAAGTTCGTGGTCAATGGCCTCGAATGACCCTAGAAGTCAAACTCGACGAAAGTTATCCGCGGGTTAAGCACAGGAATATTTAGAAACATTTAGATAAAATACGATATTAACTAACAACTAGCGAGAATCGATAACCATTTGCACATACGTAATCTCAACTTGACCTTACGATTTATTTTTAATCTACACTCGAGTGACGTAAATGATTATCAATCTCGTTCCTCGATGAACAATATCAAATTTCTCTATATAGAAAAATTCAAATATTTCATATGTCGATATCTACAGTTATCTAGTTAGGATCTAAAAAGAATTATCCGAGGGAGTAGTATGAGTACGATTATTATCACCAATACTGAATCACCCGTTTATAAATAATAAAAAGTTTAGGAGTTCTGTTCCTATTGTTATTTATATTGCTGTAAAACAGTATCACACTTTATACTTGCATTAAATCAAATAAGATTCAAACTTTTATTCTACAGACTGAAAAATTATGTAACGCAGAAAATAGTGCTTCATTGAAATATTAAATTTGAAATTGTTGTATCTCTTAATCGTGTATATGTAAAAAGCAAAATTCTATATAAAAATATTTTTTGTATATTAAATGTATGTATAGGACACGAAAGTAATATGTTTTGCAAACGTTTTATTGATGCATTTATTAAGTGGTATTTGAATAGCAAGCATCATGGACAGTTGCAGTACTTTTTATTATTTAACACAGAAGGTAAGATTATAAACCAGACCTTCGATTTAATTCTGCTATGCATGTATTCAAACTGAATAGAATGCAAAAAGTATAGAAAAATAAAAATACGTTACGGAATGCAATGCATGAGGTACTAAATACGTTAAAATAATTAAATATAGTAACGATCGAATACAATTTGTCTACATTAATCTTGGATTTAAACAAACGTAAACTTCTATTGGATTTGCCTGCAAATTTAATTTGACTTAATAAATTCGACATGTAACTATGTAATGTATGTCAACTTGTACGCAATATACTATATTCGACGCTGTTTTGTGCATAATCTCAATCAAATATCACGCTTTCTACTTCTAATGTTTAAATCATTCTAATTCTGATTTAGCTTCATTCTTGTGCCACCTGCACCAGTTCGCAATTATTTCAAAAACTTTGTCATTAAAGTAACATAAATAAAACCACTGATCGAATTCTTTCTACAATACAGAAGCATACAAAAAGTAAAGAGTTCAGTTTCAGAAAACAAAATCAGTGGCAAAATTAAAATATTTCTTAATATTATTTTTCTGGAGAATTTAAACTTGCTCCGTATATACTATACTGTATAATCAATTTGTAACTCCTCTTAACGAACCGGACGATTCTTTTTTGGAAGTTAAATGTTGCAACATAAACTTGATGCAAATGAAATAAATAAGTGAAAAGAAATGAATAAAATGTAACTTAAATAAAAATACGATTTTCCGGCCAGGTGTATCTAGATTTGTAAATGTAAGACGTCATGTCTACAACGTAAATAATAAACGAATACAAGCGAAGAAACCTGTTTTTAACAAATATCTTCGGCGCTACTAAAAGATTTTGTACCATATTTAACCGATCGCAATGAAAAAAAGACATTTCAAATACAATTAAATGTCAATCTTTCTATAGAATTAAATTATACGGTACAAAATCTGTCGTTAATGAAATACACTTGTCCGTCATGAAACCATACTGTTTTATCATGGTATGTGCATACTATTGTATGTGTTGTAACACCTAGCCACCGAAATATTATCGGTGTCTTAAATGTTTAATAATTTAATGTCATAAATTACATCGACACGTCATCCAGCGAATCTTTATCTATATTTATCCTAGACCTAGCACATACTTGGGTAAATTGTATGCAAATCGTGGAATTGCCATGACAATGGACAGTCTGCAAGGAAGAAATGGGAAATAATTATTTTCTACAATAATCTTAAAAGAATATACTACTATATTCTTAGATCGACTTGAATCATTTAGAACATCCGACCTATGGTATTCGAATGTTATAAAAATCTACAGAATCGTCTCAGTTACTCTCCATTTTCGGTTCTTACACTACTTCTGGGACACCCTGTATACATAAATATATCACAGATGATTGATGAATCAGAATATTGCTGTGTGAAGTAAAAAGTAATTGTTTCTAATGTGCCGAGGAGCCATCAAACGCCTGAAAAATTGTAATAATGAAACTAGATACGTAACGGCATTCTGTACCCACGTGTTTCAGAAATGAAACTTTACCAATAATATTCTAAATGGTTCGAGCCGATTTATTATGCTATCGATAGTGATTTTGCGTACCTATAATACGCCAATGTTGCAACGCCACCACCTTATGCATCATCTGTACAATTAGAAGCGTGTAATGAAAAAATATACTGCAGTTAGAGTACCACATCCCCCATAAACGAATTCAGCTGTACTTTGCTTAGATAATTAGAGGACCATATCTTTTCTCGTAGACTTATTTATCTGAACGATTTAGAGAACTGTTTAACACGAGGACTTTTACAGTATACTAGACGATACACTTGTTGAATAGGTGAACCTCTAATTATTTTAAGCATTATATTATATAATTTATATACACTTGTATACTAACAGTAAGTATTTTGCAAGCACATTGAGAATTTCAAAAAATGAGTTGCTTTGTGATGCCCCACACCGCTGAAAAAATAAAACTGTTAATTATATATACAAACCTACAAACGTAGCAGATTCAGTTAAATACAAATAGGACAGAATTTGTATTTTATTAAAATATGCATTTACAGTGTTTCCATGTTATATAATTATATAGAAATATCTTAATAATATCGTTCTCCTTATTATATCGATATAATATTTACAAGTATGACAGTTTTAAAATAGATTAATACCTACAAGAAGAATAGAACGTACTAATGTTACATTCAGTGCTGAAATATTATGGAACTATTTGTTTTGCAAAGAAACCTCTGAAACATACAAATAACGTATGCATCTTACATAATAATGTTATAACTCTATACATAAATGGCACTCTGCATGCACGCATTAGTTGACATTCTCAGGTGAAGGAAGTGGACGTGAATTGAAGAAATTTAAGCAAAGTATAAAAACAACTTGTACTAATGTACACAAGTTTAAATATTTAGTAGACATTAGTACGTAATATTTTGTACAAAGGTGTTTCGTAGTTAGTGATTTTTCATAGAAATCAAACTGACCATAGATAGTTTAAGCAGATAGTAAAGGAACAGTAAATTAAAGTGCATAGATTAGTAAAGTATCTTTCACCCGTTAAATTCCTGTATAATTGCTCCTTATTTTCACTTTATATCACAACATTCATTATCTGTATCGAATTACTAAATAAGTATGAAACTATTCACAGATAAAAATTTTTGGTAACTGACAAAGAATTATAATTAACCCTTTGGCTGTGAATTACTGTAGCAATTAAAAGAAAACGTTATAGTAATAGCGTGGAGTAAATGTACAAGTGACAGAAATAATATTTGCTTATTTAAAAGTAAATAATTTTCTACTAATAATCTACGTTTTCATATGTATCGCTACTTTTCTATATAAGTCTATAATCTCAAGCAAATTCTTTATACAAACAAAATACACGTATACCACACGATTAAATTGCATATACTGTAAGTAATATTCGTAAGAAAAAGCATAATATATATAGAAATCACGTGGAAAAAATACGCCAAGTGTTCTCGTTAGAAGTTTGCGTGTAAGTACTCGTAAAGCACAATACTTGCAGGATAGAGTGTTATCTATAAATTATGCCTCGATTAAGTTGTTATCATTAACGGCAGAGTAAGAATCAAGCCACCAATCATGTACGTACGACAAAGATAGTCCGTTGTAAATCCAAACTCGCCACCCTGTTCCTGTCTCGTTATCTATTCTGGATTCGAGACTTTGGCATAGTGCTTTGCGATCGTGACTCCTTCCGCTTCGCAAATCGCAAAGCAACCTTTTTCGACACTCGTCGTTGCACGATGGTCTTACAGGGGAATTTTTGTTGTAATGTCTGAAACATCGAGGAAACTTGTGAATAATAATATACTGGTAAGAAATTCTAGATATTTTCAAACCTAATCATTCGAGAACGTTTCCACTTGACACTTTACACTAACGATGATGGATACTTACTTGTAATAAAGATCAAAGAGCGACGGTTCATTACTCATCTTATCTATCAAAGAGTCCCAATCTTTCGGCAACAGGGACGACATTTGGTACGCTTGTCGGGCACTGTACATTTTATGCCAGATAGGGTAGTCGTACAAATTTGCTTCTTTTAAATTCATCACCCAGGTCTCATGGTCCACAACTAACTGAAACAACATTTTATTAGCTGTGTCGATTCTGAACCACAATTTCCTTTGTAAAAATGTCGGACGGTGGTTCGTTATTGAATTATTAACGAAAAACCACCGACCAATCGTCTAAAATTTTGAATGCAACTTACTCTAGTAGTTTTTTCATGATCCCCATCAACGTAATATATTCTATATCCTGGATTAAGGTCAGTATAAGGTGTAACTGACGGCCCAACGTAAGCTATACTGACAGCTCTTCCAAGATCAGAGGTATCGTAAAAGAGTTGGAATTCGTCGTAGTGAGTATGTCCAAAGAATTGTGCTGTGATAGTCGACTCATACCTGGATCAAAGTATGTTTGTCAAATTTGAATCACATCTGATTGTAATATCTAAATCTTAATATTTAAACCTTAATCATACTTCAATTTTGATGTATACATTTTTATTTGATTTTAGCTTTAATGTAGAATGTGACTTGGTGAAAACTGGGGGTTATTTACTAACCGATTGATGATTTGATAATAATTTCGAGACCACACCTTCAAGCAATCCGAATGACCAGGTGGTATGTGCCCAATAATATGAACTTTCTCACCACTCATTTCAGCTCCGTGCAACTCATATATGAGCCATTGTAATTCGCTTACTGGGTCTGTACTATTGATTAGCAGCCACCAGTTTTTGTTGTTGCAATAATTCATGTTTACAGAGATAATTCGGAAACCTGGACGCACCAAGACCGAATAAAAGGCACCTCTTCGAACGGTGCGCGAAACTCCAGCTGGTAACCAGCGTCTCCAATGTGTGTCGAGTGCGTCGTATAACCAGGATATATCGTTTTCTTTTGGAACGAATGGTGGTGGAAAACTAAAACGAATACAGTTACAGATTGAAAAAGAATGCACGTTTCCAAAACTGCGTATGGATTTTATTTTAGTTTGATTATACGCGATGCACGTGGAATTTGTTGAGAATTTAGAAAAATAAATGATAAACGTTGAATAAAAGGCATCTCTTAAGAAAATTTACGAGCAAATAATGCGTCATGGTTCAGCTCTTGTTTCGAGATCGATAAAAATTGTGCAAAGCCTCAGGAACGAAGTAAGAGGACATACCTATTAACGGGAGCAGTTTCGTGGTTTCCTAGAGCTGGAAAGATTGGAATTCCAGGGAACGTTTCAATGAGCTGTGTCACCGTATCGTGTAAAATGTTCAAATTCTCCTCGCGCGTTTGGTTCCACACGTCGTGAGGTGGCAAGTCACCGGTCCACAATATGTAATCTATATCCTAAATTACGATGAAAAGTGTGTGAAATTTCATGTAATACATACAAGACGTAACTTTTGCTATGTGCCATTTACAGATATGGGCAGATACTTTTATAAACAGTTATAAAAGGTCGCGAATGTGTTAAGAAAATGAAGTTGTTTATTAAATCTCCTCCACCGGTTCACGTACGAAGAAATGATCGTTTCTATCTTTGACAAAAACATTTGTTTTATAATTTCCTTCCCTTGGGAGATAAAGCTCTTGAATTAAAATGACGTTACTCACGGTATGCGTGTCAGCGATATGTTTGAGCATATGTTCGACTGTTCTTTTTGGCGTGTCGCATTTTCTGTAGTCACCCCATCGGCCAGCACCAGCGGCTGGAGTCAGGGGTGCTCCGTTGGTCAATCTGCAGCATAATGGTTCGTTACAATCCGCGTTCGTGCCCTCTTGGTAGTAAGGATCGAAATGCGTATCAGAGATATGAAGGACTTTGAAGGTCGGCGCACCTTCTTGAGGTGGTATCGGAGGTTTAACAGGCGGTTTGTTCACCGGTGGGAAGGCCACCTCCCACTCGTGCAGAGGATTGTACGCGTCCTCGCAAGCGTCCCCAATTACGAAACTACAGATTTGCGGTGGGCCCATGTTCACTTGCTTTAAAACGTAAATAACTTCTCCCTGGACAGAAACACGCAGGCGCAAAAGTTACTTCATCTTCGTAATACTCGGCTATTATTTAACATTACAATTGACGCGTTGGTAATTATTATATTCGATAACAGAAAAATTCAGTCAATTGTACAAAGAGTAACAATCGTACTTTTGCATTTTACTAGTTTCCGTGATAATTCCAAGGGAAATATTGAAAATAATGAATCGTACTAATTAAAAGTAAAACTTACCCCAAAAAGTAACGTCACCCCTTGGCAGACTCGAGGGCTTTGGATTTTAAGCGATATACAAAATTGATAAATACTGTTCATAATCTCTTCGTCACTTTTGCCAGTCTTTATGTAGTGTTGAAGAAGTCCCGCGCCAATTTTACACGCGGAGCAAGATACTTGCGACATTACAGACGTCTCAACCTCCATCATTACTTGCCTCAAGTCTAGCAACCTTAACGCTTTATTCACGAATCCAGAAAGATGTCCGCTTGGCTGCACAGACTCCATGTCCCATAACATCCGAGAATAATTATACTGTAAGCATACGCGTTTTTCTTTTTTAAAAGTCACTTTGCATATTCGACACGAGTCATTGCAAAACTTCCAAACATACCAGAAAAGTGGCGAAATAGTATTTAAATTTGTTACAAGAAAAAAAATCAGTTATATCGAAAGAACTTAAATGAGACAACCTGTATATCGAATACAGTTTAATGAACCATACTGATAAATAATGTTTAATTTTCTCGTTATATTACAGAAGCTTTAAGATTGGGCTTTTCAAAAAAAAAAAAAAAAAAACAGGAATCCGCGAACACTGTTATCGATGATTACAGCAGACAAACAACTGCCTCGTTATTCAAAAGTTCATTCACATGTTATTTTCGTAGCATTGACCTTCTATCTGTTGCACTTTAGTATACTCAAGAACAGATGCTTAAAGAATAAATTGTCAAAATATTTCATTTAGTAAGCAGTTAAATATTTATTTCATTAATATTGACTGTGGATAATTTACCAAGAGAAAATATACAAATTTAAATTGTATTGTACAAGCAAGATCCTTAATCAGCGATTATCCTAATATTCATATGACAACTACCTAAGGTCCATACTGTATGTAGACATGTACTAGTCGATTCGTTTCCAGAGGTGAAATATCTGAAGCTTATCTTTCGATTCTTCCGTATTTCTCCGACTTTTTTCATGTTTAACGAGACGATGTCGCCGACTCTCACTTTTAGTGCCGAAATACTTTCACCGACTTGATCGACGAAGATGCCAGTATATACCGTATCTTTCGTATGCGCGTTTACAAGTATACGCACCATCCAATGTCAGTGACTTTCCCCCGCGAAAGTTTCACGATTATCGATACAATTTTTTCAATCCGACAATAAACGTTATTCTGTAACCAACGACTTCTCTCAAGGGACAATGCACGCGCGGTACTACTCAAGATATATTCCATTACGACCTAGTTCTTCTGCAAAATGATTGTAAACTTCGTCTACAGGCTGTCTCATTTAATTAGTTCTTTTCGATCAAGTGTATCACACGTGTTTAATTATCGCTTTAACGTTTTTCCGCGCCTTTATACTCAATTACATATAATCCTGGTTTAAATAAGAATATTTACCCTCCATATTGTTACGTTAAATAATAATGAATATCCCAGATTGTTTCAACATAGATTTCATGAAATAAACACTCTAATTAAAATTCATATAAATAGATTACCAGTAGATAAAGTATATTGTATAGTTTATGGGGTTACACCACTTTGGTCGTTTAAAAAAAGTTTTTTTCGCTTCAAGTACTCTCCATATATACGAAAGTGATACGCCGTTAATTAGAAATCATTATCCGAGGTGTAAGGGCAGTTTTGGGCTCAGAAAGTAGAGGCGCGAAAATCTTGTTACCGATTCAATAAAAATTCTTGAGAAAGCATGAAAATTCGTGTGGGCAAAGTGGTGTAACCCCTTACCATGATGTCAATTACGATATACCCTTGCGAGCAAATTCGGATTGGTGCCATTGATGAGAACGGTTTCTGCGGTCGGTGGCAGGTCCCTGAGTTTGTCGTTTAGTGGTAAAATGGTAACGATGTCCACCTTCTCTTCTGCGGCTCTCGCTCTGTCAGCGAACCATGCGTCCGCGAGTTGCGTCCAGTTGGTCGCGGCTATTTCCGCTTCCCTCTTTAACCTGTCTCGGATAGGACTTCCTATGATGTAAACAAAAACAACAACAGGTAAGAGGCTTGCATGCTCGCATGTTCATTTCTTTCATATAAAGTAGGTTGTATTCTCACTGAGAACGAATAACTTGACGAAACACTTAATTGAGAGTGATACCGTAAAAGTGAATCGACAAGTAGAACAGAAACAAGATTTTACTGGCAAGTCTATAACGTGAAACAATTATGTCAAACGAGTGAGAAAGAATTATGATTATTTTTTTATGTGCAAAACTAAATTATAGAACATACCAAATAAAGTGCTTTCCAAACTCGGAAAGGGTTAAGAAAATCCATGAAATCGGTATGATTTACTTAGGGTAGATACTTATGATAGCCATTGGAATAAATGATATAATTGCCTCGTTACCCTCGAAATATCCTATAATAAGCATGTCTCGAAGAATCGCGTAATACACAGTCATACATTGGAATCATCGTACCGAATGCTAATCTCAAGTACTTTCTCCAGAAAAAGAGGTTACGCGGTTGCTATTGTTTCGCTCCATTTTCAATACAAATGATTGGCTATCGGTAACGTGAATGGTATAATGCAATCTGTGTATAACGCATTAGCGAAGAATAGAGTAAATAAAAGTAGTCATTAACGACACTTGAGGCAGCTGAAGAATAGTTTCTTTATCCAAAGAAAATAATTTTGTACAGAAAGGGTGAATAAAGTCTTCACAAATAAATCGTGCATAATTATTATAAGCACTAAAAACGGTGTTTTCATTTTTTCACTGATGCGAGCTGTCTATTAGGTCTAAGTTTAGTGTTTAATAACGTATGGATCATGTACTTGCCAATTGTAGTATGTAGTGAGCCAATGAAGAGAAAGAGTAAGATGTTCATTGCGACCCATTTGTGATTTTGCATGCTACCTTCGGCGTTTTGGTGTTAACTGCAACAAACAACACGATACATTCTTTAGATAAAGTATGTATATATTATCTATTATTCGAATCATTGAATTTAGAAATTAACGAGGAGTGAAAGGAGAAGTAAAACGTCAGTAGATCCTCACGCAAATTTCGATGCGTCGATAAATACTTTCGTAAATAGGTGTGTCGTTGCTGCAAGCAGGTGTTTTAAATTTTGGACGGCACCTGTAATTACTGTTACTCCTATGTGGGTCACAGATAAATACCTACTGAGAATTGTCATTCAAGCAACAACCGTCGAAGCTTCGATTATTGCAGCAATATATATTCGATGGAAGATATATGGCCAGATCGTAAGAACACTAGTAGATGATTGCAGTCACGTGCAACCATATGATTGGGAAAGTCGTGCCATTAAATGGTCCAAGACGATTTTTGTTTGGAAATCAAAATCTCAGAGACGTATTTCACTCAATTTATGAAATTATTCTTTTGAAGAATATGTTTGAGAAAATGGAACGTGAATGGATCGCTTTCTTTCAAACCATTTTTCGTCTTTTCGTTAAGAATTGTTTCTCGTAAGTAACAGGAGTCGCTTCTGTATGTTATTTAACGTTTGTTGGTCGTTTATCCTCTCGACTCTATCGCTTTACATGCTATTCAAAAATTCCTTGCCCCAATACCATGCATTTTCGAGCGACCTTGTTATATGGACGCTTTCACCGCAAATTAATGGCGACGAAGAATAGTGGGATGGATTGGAAATTGAATATTCACTTATGTGCTCTAAGTGCTGCTGTGATTTGCAAAATTTAAATTGTGAATTCACGGAGGATTGGCTAATGTTAATTTCAAGGCCAATACACGCCTATTCGTGGGAAGAAATATCAAAATGCCTATGTATCCATACGCAGCAAGCATGAATAATTGCTCAGGTATTTGGTCCGTGTAAAATACAGCAACTTTAGACACTTCTAAATAATTGAAATTTAAAGAAGATTGAGGTACAAAGCGAATCGACGTTGCAAAATTTTTGACATAAATTCCAAAGGTGCAATCATTTCATTGTAGCTCTGCAAGCACATTTCTTATCTAAACAACCAAATATCACGTATTTATCTGACTCAAACGCTACGTCTCGAATTCTATCATAAACTAAAAATGTGAATTTTTGCTATCGAACGTCACGGTACCGTGTCTGAGTTTCCTCGGAATTATCATATTAATTAGTCCTCTGCACTACTCTATCTTATCTCGTGTTCAATGAAATACAGTCTTAACAAGAAGAAGCCAGCTTGCATTATGTTACTGTTCTTCATCTTCTTTCAATTGCGATCTTATCATATTTTTAAAAAAAAGAACGAGACTGGAATGCATTCAGAAAAAGAATAAGAATCACCGTATCTAGAAACAATAAGATGACTTCACCTAAAGTTACGATACTGGAAAACTATTTATTTAGAAATTTATACTCGCTAGAAAAAGCTACAAGTTTATATCTCACGAAAATTAATTTCGTCCGACTTATAACACTTCGGACATTGATGCCAGAGAGTTTAGGGTGACGTTCGCGCGAGATTCTTGCACTTTCGATAACAACGAACACAGAAACAGGTTAGCGAATTCATGAAATAATGGCAAGCAATAATACCGTTCCATTTTCCGCTCAGCCAATCGTTCGCCGCTCGACGGTGGTCGTTAATTTTACGTTCAACTAGCTCGACCAGACAAAGACACGCGTTTGATCGGATCCTGTCAATAAAATAACGGCGCGTCGAGCCTATTTTAAATTCTCTAGCACGACAGAATTCCGAAGGTCCGAGTAATGAATCCAACGGTAGGAACGAGGAAAACAGCCAAGTGGAATAAGCGGTTGGTTGACCGTTATTCGACCCACCCAGGGACCTTGCTGCTGAAAGAAGACACTTGGGCTATGCTCGCATTTCGTGCCCATTCAGAACGAAATCATCCCACAGACATCTGTCGGACTCGGTGATAAGTCCCAACTACGGAATGAATCGTTTAAACTACAGTTCAAGACGAGAACAACGCCAGCGTGCTGGAATACGAACACTCCGAGTAGGAGTCTAGCGAGAGTCTCGATAGTCTTGATTCGAGACTGGTTTCGTTATTGGAGCACGTTGACTGTCAAACTGATACTCGTGAAAATTTCTGCGCGGCTGAAGCTTTATTTCGAGGCGATCGGAATACGAACTAGCATTTAATTTCGCAGCATCGTTAAAACGAATTATTCGCGAATGTATTTTATTTAACGTCTCGCTATCGGTATTGAATTTTTTTAGCTCCTTAGCTAGTAAAAAGTTCTGTCACCCATATATGGTCGATGTGGCACTCAACGTGTTGATAAAGTGGAAATTTGAAATGGGAGAAAATTTGTCTTCGATGGGTGCTATATTCAATGGAAATAATTGTCAAGTAATTGAATATATGGTCTTTGAACTGAGAGCAAATGCAATGTATATATCTAATACAAAATGTCTTAATTTGGTTTTATTTCGAGTAGCAATTGTCCTTTAACCTTTTTAGGGATAAGAAATTAGAAACAGCGAAAGCAAGCGAACAGTTCCAAGAAGTGGCGTGGATAGCCACGCAAAAGCTAGACTAAAATCCACGAAAGCTTGGAAGGCAGTTATTAGTTGTCGAGTCAGGATTGATGACAGAATATTTTTAACGACAACGTCTACCGTCCGTACGAAACAAAAAAGAAACATTAACCGAGGCTCGCTTGAATGGTTTCACTGCCATTTGGATATTTATGCAAGCATTATCCACGTTCCAGTCGTAAAATATAGTCTGCAACATATTCGCCGATAATGTACAACTTGTCACTTCCACTGGCTCCTGTTTGAAGCATGTAACTGTCCATACTCCGTCATAGTCATCGCTAGAGCGACAGGTAACAGTTAGAAAGTTATCAGTGTCGGTCCACATATCATCTCTTCTGATATAGATATTAGTGGCTTTGGAAATACCCTCTTTAAAATGATATTTCTCTTCTAATGCGTATTCTTAACTGTCTATTTATGTAGCTAGTTTCTAACCTGATGACAAGTACATCTGAATCTATAATTTGTAGCACGTTATCGATAAAGATAGTTACTACTTCTAATACTCTCCTCAGACGTTAGTTTGTCTATCGTTAAAATTGACTGACATCTTATGATAAACAAAAATAATACTATAAACATCTGAAAAATTTGTATCGAGTGGTGTAATTATTCTCCAACTGTTATAACTTTAGAAATAATTGGATGTTAGTAAGAAAACAAAACTACAAAAGGAGCTTTAACATTTCGTGCTTTAATGAAACATAAATGATGTACAAATGTACGTTGTTATTAAAAAACCAAATCCTAAAGCCCCCTTTGAAAACTCATCTTTCACTCTTATTAATTTAAAATTAATTTAGGTTTAATCGATCAGAAACTATAGAACCACTGGAAACAAAGTCAGAGCTCTTATCTATTTGTAAGTTTCCACAAAGTAAGCTGCCAGTTTCACAACAAAAACTATCCCCAGAGAAAGTAGAAGATATTATGAATAATAGTCGTTGGAAATCTCTCCGGAAAGTGTACCTAATGCATCACAGATCATAAGATCGTACGATGAGTGAAGAGCCTGAACAAGAAAATATTTTATCGCAAGGAGATATGTATTTCCATACGAAAGAATTGAAAGAACGTCTCACGAAGACTTGACAATCCTGCGAAAGCCTGTGTGCACAAAGGTCTCGGCCGACGTTTACGTCTCTTAATACAATTATTCTTTGAGCCATATATGCACGAGATTATATGAATAGCGCGTCAACTGACGGACGCATAGAAGCTCGACGACGAGCTTCTTGCTTGCGACGATGTTAAATGGATTATTTCATGGCTAGGCGACGCGTGGTTATGACGTTCCAGAGTTATAAAATCGAAGGTGAAACGAACCAACACGAGGTTAATTTCAAGTAATGTATAACCGATGATAATGAATAACGAATGAAATACAAATTTTTGATTGCATATATCCAAGCGTGGTTTACGAGAACTAATTAATCTGTCACGTGCAAGTCATTATTACGAAAGTAATCGCAAAAAAAAGTAGTGCTCAACGCTTCCTGAAAAACATTCACGTAACGTAAGGATCAGCGTTTACAGCAAGATACAGAAATAAAGACAGGAAGCTAAACAATGTTGGGAACGCGGTATAAAACTATATGTAACATATTTGTAAAGAGCACGAATGTTTTGAGATGCATTGTTCCAAGTTTTGTAAAAGGCGATAAATGGAGGATGGGAAAAAGGGAAAGGATTTTGTGGGAAAAGCATAAACCATTCTTTCAACAACACCTTCTTAAATAGGAAAATTCACAGTCGAGGAATGCTGTACACGGTACAACCTCGATTATTGCGTTAGAGTGTCGTCTATTGCACGGTGTCGACAAGTGGACGGTCGTTGAGTAACAAGGAAGAATTAGAGTAGTAACAGTAACAGGGATATACTGTGTAAAGTTAATCATTGAATTGATCGCTTGAACCTTGATTATTGCTGAAACCTCGATTGTTCTAAAGATGTAGACTACTACATACATCTAGATCTGAAATGTTTCGTTTCCCGAACACTGGCGATGGAAAAATTAAAATTTACGAAAATTTGTCTACCATGTTTGCATCATCGATGTATTGCTGCAAATTCTTAATGGTTTTTATCGATTTTATATCGCCGATATTCGAGGATCGAAACGCTTTGAATGAGATTAAATCGAACGATATTAGAATGGTATCGAGAGAACTTTGTATTCACACGTATCATCACGAGCACTGAAATTAATTGCATGCGCCAAAGATGCCTATTCATAACGTATCAATAAATTCAAATCGGACTTATTACAGAGCAGTAGATTTTAAACTTTCTTGGTCTAAATCTATAGACAATCAATTTTTGTCATTTTTATCTTAATTAAATTAATTCTAATTCTAATGCTTCATGAAGCAATTGTAAAAGGTATCGTGATCGTAATTAACAGTAATTTCTCTATAAAAGCAAACGTACGCGTACGTATCAATATCCCTGAGGAGATCAAGCATCATCACCGTGCGTAGATGTAATCTGAAGGTGTACGTTTAGAAAATATTAGTAAAACGACATTTTTTTTTTTTTTACAAGAAACCAGTTTCAAATCAGGCATCCATTGAACGAATCGTCCATGACCATGTTTCGTGACCAACAGGCGATCGTCCCATGTCCGAAGCACCTAACCTACTTAATTCTCGCTCTCTCTCACCGTGACGTCACAAACTGCCGCCGTAAGTAACTTCATGGAGACCCCCGGATCCACATTGGATTCAAAACTTCCTCTGAGATATTGTACGTCAGGAAAAGTCCATGAAAAAAGTCTTCACCTAGTACATATACACTTTCTTAAACGATTAATTTCATCAGACCAGTATATTTGTAGTTCCTTAAACTTCGGCGATCCAGTTTGGTCAATTTTTGACAGAGCTATAACTACTTGACAAAAAAAGATGTATTTTATTTTTTAAATTCGTAACTGTTTTTAGGGTACTATAATATACAAAAATTTCGAAAAGATTTCCTTCAACGACGAGTCCTTTAGAGAGATCAAGTTTGAGAAACACCGAGGTAGAGAGTGACGAGTCTCGTTGCTGGTATCACTTCCCCCCAGCCATCTAACTTTTTCATTTGGCCAAGCTTAATACATTAAACGTTTGACCAGACAGAAGTAAATTGTTCGTCTCCTCAATCGTTTCAATACGAATTATACGATTACAGTTATCGTCCCAAGTCTGTTCGTAACAGTCGTGATTCTTGATTTAAAAGTTTGCAACTTGCTAGGCCTTATTAATAAATTGTCGCATTCATTTGTTGTTTGCAGATTAAAGGAAGATGAAACACAATGTATGATTCCATCTGGATGTGTCTATTCGTCTATACGGCCTTCAGATCTTGAAAAGCGCGACTAAGAGCAACGTTTCTGAAGGACAGCATTGCAAAATGACGTCAAATAGTACTACTATGATATTATTCGCAGCTGTCCTTTTTAACTCAAAGTACACACATGTATGCGCAATATTTGCGTCCCTAAGTGGATTCGAAGCGTGCAACGATATCGTTATTTGCACTGTGCTATTTCTAGAATATACATGGTGAACCACGAGAAATAGCACACCTCCGCGCGATTAATATCTTCTCTTAAAATCACTTTTGAACAAATTTGTGAGATTATTAATTTTTTTTTTTTAACGAAACCACTTATCTATTCATTCGTTGCATATTATACTTGATACTAAGAAGAGTACAAATGTATTAGTATTGTTTTTAATTTTGAATTAAAATTTGAAATTTGAAATTATCAATAAAAATCACTACAATGCTCTCCTACAAATTTGACCTTAAGTAAACAAGATTTAAACATATTTACAAGGATTTACTGACTGACGATTTCATGCAGAACTGTCCAATGTTTAATGACAATTGTGAGTCTTGTATTGAAAGACCGTGTTCCTGTTTGATTCATTCTGAATTGCGTATGCAGGTGCAGTCCTAGACGACACACCTCTCAAAAGGAATTATACTTTCATTGCGATAGACATTACAAAAAGTCTTGTAGAATGTGTTAAGCCATGAGTGCTATAATGTAGCGAGTAATTGTTAGGTACTCGTACTTCATCTGTAGCATGGTATTTGGTATTCAGACGTAATTTGGATAAATGCACGCCATTAGAATTTTTAAAGCACCATTTTCCCCATACAAATCCACAGGACATTCAGATGAAGAGGATGTCGAGTAGAAGCACGTGTACGGAGCATTACGTATTCAAAGAAAGAAACCTGAAGATAATAATGTTTCCAGATGTTTTGAATACCGGATTCGTATTATTTCTAGGTTTTGTAGAAAACACATTAAGACCATAACATTATTATTGTTATGGTGAATGTGATAAATATAAATGCAGTGATTATGCATAATCCCAACTGATAATGAAATTGTATTATCTAGGATGATTGATAGTCTTATTCACATTGATTTGTATATTATAATCAGATAAATTGCAAATTTTTATCGCATAAATGTTTAATACAGGTTTTAACTCTTTCAAACAAAAAGATCATTGATAATACAACTTTCTTATCTAGAATAATTATTTCTTCGTCATAAAGATTATCAACATCATCTGACAAATTATTACATAAATTGATAACTTCAAGACATCGATATATGTTCATACTTTGTATTTCGAACAAAGAAACATGTTCTTCGTGTGTACGAACGACAATGAATGTTCCAAACATTGACTCTGGGGGATTCCTTTGTTCGTAGCCCTAGGCAGTTGTCGTTTACCTAACGCGTCACTGAACTTGAATCGAAAAACCTGTATGTACATGGAATGGCTGGTAGAAATGAACACAACAGATATGCAAAGAGAGAATCGAAAATTGTACGACAGACAACAGTCAATTGAAAATTGCGTGCGACTACGTAAAATAGATACTTTTTCTTCATTTTGCATACTAGAGTGCCCAATAAATAATGTTACATTTTTACGCGTCCAGGTGACGTCGTATAGAACGACAGGGCAATTATTCAGTGTAAGTAATAAAGTTGCATATCATTAGAAAGTGCTTAGAAAGTGTTGGAAGACAGAACTGACTAAATAATTAGAGATTTATCGTGCTGTCGTTAAGAAATGTTACGTCAAAGCGTAGAATAAAATAATACATTTCTTATGGGGTACCTTAGTAATTAGCAAGTATGTCATCAATCAAAAGTATATCACGGTAGATAGAACGATACGTAAGCACATGTTTAATTGACCAGAAAGATGATCTACATTATTTGTTAATTATTTGACCATTACCCAACTACGGAAGAAACTAATTATTATTAAACTTTTAATGTACATACATACTTCTGTTAGATAGGACTATTTCTTTGTATATATAATATAAACAAAAAATTATAAAAAAATATTTGAAATGTACGCGTTGAAAGTCTAAATTGAATATTTCTTTAGTTTGCATACATGAAACCTGTTACAGAGAACGTTTGGAAATCTTGAACACTAAATAGCCTTAACGAGATCGAATTCGTTAGTGTTTCGAAAGTCTTGAATGTCACGCACCATCAACAAAATGTTTTGTGTACCTTATTAGCAATTTGAATTTTTTGCAGTTGTATTCGAGAATTAAGATTGTGTTCGCGTATATATTCGTTGAATTTAATCTTTCAACGTTTATACTAATTTCGAAATTCTTACGAATATAACTGCTGTTCCAGCTGAACAAAAATAATAATTATCCTAATCATTTCGTGCCTAATGTACTAAATAATTGATATTACTATTACACGATTAACTATATATACAACTGTGTATAATTTACCCTCTATCGATTATTCTTTCGATCGGTACACTATTCATAATTACTATACTGCGATTCTTTATGCAAAATAAAATCTTTGTAAACGTACCTACAAAAATTGAACCTAAATAAGAACTTACTTCACTTTCGATATTTATTTATGTAATTCCATAACTGTGCGCATTTTGTTGTTTCGTTTTATTCAAATTTTCTGTAAACGCATACAAATCTGCCATATAATAATCGCGTCCTAATAATCACAGATCACCGTGTGATTTTTCAACGCACACAGTAATAAAACAGTTATGAAACCACTCCTACCTATATATTCTCTCTATTTCTGCACTCTAGTTATATTTACAACAAAACAGATTAATATCCATAGATGCGAACACGAGGGGATCAGCCGATGCATTAAAAATCGATAGTTGCCACGAGGAAGTACATATAATGCTACTTACGAATTTTGAAATCCGGTAGAACGGCGCGCGGTGCATAAAGAAGTTTTCACTGACGCGCGGCTCGAGGTGTGAACTGTTTGCAAACTTTGACGAAATTATTTTAAACAAATGGCGAATTGTGTCGAAATAATTTTGCAATCCGAGATTCAGCCGGACGTTCGATACGTTTTCTAGATCACTCGAGCCAAGACGCGCGCGCGTTCGCTGCACGACACACTACTGACCGAAAGCCAACTCTTTCTCTCGCCCCTCTTTACGTCTTTTGCGCGCGCGCCTTACTTCTCGCAATCTAATCCTCCCATCCGACCGCGATGACTTCTCGGTATACACTGAGCGGCGCGGGAACCGCGCATCGTGATATCCCTCTTATAATTACGCTACCCCCACCCTCGCGGAATCAACACCGATTAAAGTTGAACTGTGTAATTGATTGGTCTCTTATTCAATCTTGTCCAATAGATGAACAGTAAAGCGAAGTGTTTCACCCTTTCGCAGCTGTCGGGACACACATTTTTAATTCTATCAAAATGTCTACATTTTAGGTTTCACACTTCAAATGGGTTTCTTCTCTCTTGCGTTGTCAAATCCGGCTTTTAATTGCGAATATCGACCGGTAATTCCGACTACTTATTCTCATCGTACTTTGACTTGCAACTATGAAACAAGTGCTTGTTCTATTATCCGAACATTTCCTTATTCGGACCAATTACTACGAACACAGAAGGCTCTACTGTATTTTCAATGATTTTTCCGTGTTATTGTGTCCCCGTGTAGGCTCTGACGAATAACAATAAGTGTACCTCACAGCATGGTTACACATCATAAAATAGCACGCATACAGCACATTATTGTTCCTGCTAGAGCGTGACTCGATAATACGTAGCATTGTGGGAAAGTCGTTAATCGAGCATAATCTCAACCCATGATATTAATAAGCAATTTTCTTTTCACATCGCGTTACTTGTAGGTTGTTAGTGTAGGTACCACATTCCTTACCAGCCATCAATGCCAAGTTATACTTTAGTGACCGACGCACAGTGAGCACAGACGACATTCTTCCTATCGATTCACCATTTTTTCGATTATACGGAATGCCAAAGATTACCATAAATACCATCTCTAGTCGTTATAAGTGCATATAAAAATAAATACCAGAGTTTATATAAAAACTAAAGGACGTATCAACAGAATGATATTGTCTAAAAACCCTGAATGGTAGACAGGAATTGACAAATGAATATACGCTTCGGTTTCAACGCGATCTAGGGAATGGCATGACGTAACCAGCATTGTCCTGTACCTGTATAGAGTAACTACACGTCAATGGATAGCCTAATCTTGCCCGTGAATCGTATTTTTCAACACATGTAAACACCTTATATAATTTGCTCGAAGCTATCGTACATAATATAAAACCGACGGATGTACCAAGTACTGGAGAATCTATTCGATGCTAGTGTGTACCAAAACAAATAAACTTGTATACAGAGAACAACGACTCTACCAACCGCTTTGCGCGCGGTCCTCTGCTTTTCCTAGAATTGCGATGCTCGGTCGTCTTTGTTATTGAAGTACGATACCCTAAAATTTAAACATTTGTAACGAACGTGAATATTCGCCAATTTCTGTTCTAATGATATTTTATTTTACGATGTTACTTTTGTTTTTATCAAATATTTAAAATTAAAAAAAATATATATGTATATATATCATTAATATTACTCATAAACACAATTTGTTAGTTACTTAAATAGAATGTAACGAGAATAATATTGACGAGCCACAGGGAACATTCAAACATAAAAGTTTGATGATACCTTCTTTGAAGGTATTTAATAATACTCTTCTTTCTAATTTCAATCGGGAAATTCTATGAACAGGGTGTAATTTTAAATGTAATTTTTATTTAGGCTATGTACAACACATACGTACAATACGTGACCCTTGCTTAAAACTATGTTACGTCGCCCCCGGTATGCATTTCCACTTAATCTTTAACGCCTCCTAAACTTTTTTTTCCCCTCGACATACGTGGTGTGTTCGTGTGTGAAAGTGTATACGTTTTCTTCTTTCTTTTCATTTTATGCGCTCCTGTACCGTACACACGTGTATGTGTAAGTGCATGTGTGTTCGTGTGTCATGTGATATGTTACAAATTTTTAGGAACATTTCGCGTGGAACACCGCGAGTGATATTAGCAATAAGGTCGCAGAGAAACTACATGAAAACAATGCAGTCGTCTGCAACTCCATTCTCGATCAATATATGGATTAGACACTTATCGAAAAATGACACCAATATAGACGATTGTTGATTGGACAGACTCCAAATATCACCACTGAAAGGCGCCAGGGAGAACGGGCAATTTGGCCATTTTTAAACAAACGAAAATTCTTGTTCGACAAATATCTTTTATGTTCTTTAACACCAAAACCAACATATCGGTCATTCCGACGTACTTCCAATTTCTTCTTATAATAACTCGGTTATTAACGATGCCTTTGTCACAATTTTGTGTGACAATTAGTGGAAAAGAGAATTATATTCATAAATTCATCCAGCCCCTTTAATTTCAAATACGTTGTAGTATTTCGAATAAGTATAACGCAAAGTATTGGTCGTTGATAGTCTTAGGCGTTGAAGTAACACACATTTTAAAAGAAAATTTCATATTAAAGAAAATAGAGAAACTACATTCCTTGAATCTGTAGATAGAATATTCGTTTCGAACGAATAGAAAGAGTAGAGTCAAGTTTCTGTGATAAATGTAAACGCAAAGAAAACGATTATTTCATTTATCGATCAGAGAATAGATAAGCGTTAGAAATGATTGAAACCTGGCGCCCTTCAAATTTCGAACGCAAGAATCGTCAGTTACCCTCATCTACCCTCCCTTCCCCGATTATTTAAAATTCTGGCCAACATAAGCACACAAATCAATGCCTAATATTCCACTAAGGGTAGGTATGGCTTACATTCTTAAAAGGACATTGAAAAATCGCATATGCTAGAATATCTGTTGAGTACACTGTATATGTATCTCGCCCTTATTTACAAGTCCCCCTCCATTAACGAAAATGTTCTGGATCGTTGTTAAGAAAACTAACGAATTATCGCGTGGATCATGCGCGCGTCGGGTTCCACGTTGCGGATCCGTATCGATTAATTATTACACAGGTTGAGACTTCCAAGCTTTGTACGCAAAGTATCTCCGTTGCTTTCAATGATACGAAGGTACGTGGCGGAAGGAGAAACGTTTGGTTTAGATGGGAACCATACGACGATATTAGCAAGTTAAAAGGTTCATATCATTAAATGTGCAATAATATAATACTACAGAACTTGTTCACAATGTTATAGTAGTGTTATTGCAATATTATGATAATAAACAAATCCTACCCCAATTAACAAATCGGCAATAATCTTGAAAACATTTTCCTTTTGTTTCCGTTTTCTCCGTATCATCGAAAGCAATGCAGGTATTTTCAATGCAGAGCTTAAAGGACACCCTGTATTCGAACCGCGTACCATATCGCGAAACAAGAAACACCTCTTTAACGTCTTAATGTCTGATTTTATTGACCAGTACTATAATATGAAAGATAACATTGAAACAAAATATGAAAAACTTACTTTCACATCCCAGGAACAAGTGTAGTTATACGAAAACGCTCTTGGATTCGTTCATTATGCAGCGAAATGTATCCTTGTATATATCCTTGAGCGAAAACAAGTTGGAATAATTGACGAAAATACATGGAATGTATTATCGCTAATGTTACAAGCGGTCGAAGGTTAGAACACGAAATCCTATGAATAAATTCTGTTTAATTGAAGTATAAAAAAAAAATGCGAAGAAAATGTGTTGTTCTTTGGACAGCGTGTAAAGCAAAATTTTTCTTGAATTTCATGGATGATTTTGTGCATTCTGATTCCGAGAGATTCGTGAGAGATATACATTTTTGTAATGTTGCATATTCTCCTCGTTGATTCAGAGCTGATTCAGTCTTCGTTAATTAATAATTATATTACCACTTTTTGAATGTACAGAAAATAAGAATTTATTAATCTGTTTATTGTAGAATTACTGCGATACGATAACGGAAGATAAAGGCTAATTTCTTTGAAGTAATAAAATGTACATTAAAATGAACGCTAACAATCTTTCGGTATGTGTGGTTCCTTTCGAACTTCTTATCTCATTATCGAATAGATTAGCCAAGAATATAAAGATTCGACTTTGAATTTCAGAATCGATATGAATTTTGCCTGTTCTTCAACGTATTTTCTACAATTTCAACATGTTACTTCATCCATGAAAGCCTAGGCAATTACTCGTTTTACACCCTGTATAATACACATGGAATTCGTGTACATAAAGATTTTCACTAATAGTCGTAGAGTACGTGCGAATACGTATATTTAATTGTAGATATTGCGTCATTAACAAAGTAGCTTTACCAAAATAGCATTAACAGTATGACGAAATGTTCGACAATGTCTCGCTAACTTCAACTTATCAACCAGAGTTGTCCTCTTCCTATCGTAATTATCAATAAACAAATAATTCTGACAAAATCCGGAACGGTAGCACGATTGCGTATCATGCTTGTTTGGTAATACGATTTCTTCGTTTCTTGAAAAGCGCCACGAGAATCGCGTTAATTTGATTTTCCATTTCACCGTTTCCCTACGTCATCTCGGTGGTGCCTTGAAATAATTGTTCTTTCGTTAATTTCATTTCTTTCCTCGACAACACAATTTGGCAATGCTGAGTTGTGCGAACGAAGACGTGCTTGCATTTCAAATACTTGTGTGAATTTCTCGAGTAGCCCCACCTATGTAACGTTTACAATTATGTTTGATACTGTAGCATAGGAGCAGCAAGATTCGGGTGATGAGCTGTATTCATTCTTAAAGCAGAGATGCTCTTGTTGTACCATTCGTCCTCCGCTGACATTCCTAAAACGAGACGATAAGATCTATTAGTAGCGTTCGTGTTTCATATTTTATGCGTACTTCATTACTTTGGGGAGAGTCTTTCGTATTTTGTCCATGTTCAATTGTCTTTAATTTGAGTAACATTGTTTTAAATCATTTATGTTTATCTTCACTCCTAGAATTAGTGCAAGAACCGGAAATAGGGAGTAGGTCAGGGGTAGTTCGTCCAGGCTTCCGTATCAGGTACAGTTCAACGGAGGAAACGAAATTTCTTTTCTCTGGAAAAGCAATCAGGTGATTCGATTTAAAGACTTTCCCAGGAGCTTCTTCGTAACCGCTAATCGATCGATTTGCTATCGCATTAAGACGTTAAATCGTTACGCGACGTTTAGATATTGGTAAAAGACCGACGCCGACGCGACCCCGACGGTCCAACGTGGATGTCTATACGAAGAGCGGCAAAGCAGCCTATTCGCGAATAGTCTTGATTCGATTTAGAAGCGATATTCCATCTTGCGCCGGAAATGGTGTAAGACGGCGCTGGAGCGGAAATAGAGAGAACGTCTTGTACAGAACGCACGTTTGTACGGATGTCCGATTCCCGTCATTTCCGGCATACCTTTTTGCCAAATCATTCGATAATTTCGAGTCAACGCCCGAAACATCTTCAAAGGTTAAAATTTTCAATTTGATGTATCTTCATTTTCAATTCATTTTCAAGAAAACGCTTGTAAAATGAATTAAATGATATACTTTCGTCGATTATTTAAACAAACTTAATACTTGGAATTAATACATCAATTTTTCCTTGTTCGTGTAGCTAAATATTCGATTTCAAATCACATGTACATATCAATTCGAGGAAAATGCTCGTAAAATAAATTAAAAGACATACTTTTCATGGTTATTCAGCCATATTTAATATTTATAGCAAAGATTAAATTTTTCCTTGTTCTGTTTCGTATTACCGATAGCATTGTTGCAGGCTGATATAATTGATGAACATTTTATAACCACCCTCGAAAGGAATTCTATAAATAATAATAATTATTATTCGATTCAAATATTGATGAATAATTAATAGAAATATTCTAAATATTCAATAATCTATATGTTACTTTACGTGCTGCACAAAGTGTAAAGAAAGTATTTGTCGTGCATTATGCAGATCCTTTTATCCACGGGGAAAGTGTTAAAAAATCTACTGAACAATTCATTTAGTGCCTGAAATGGCAGATAAAATTTTGCGCGCGTCTGTGTATTCTACTCGACAAGAGAATGCGTTCAAAAGGAACCATATATCGCAAACGAACCGTTTTTTCATAAAACATTGTTAAAGTTTTGACCAATTAGATTATACAGAGTTGCTCTCGCGAGCAGAGCGCTTCTCTCACTTTGTGTCTCGTTATTACAGACACCAGTATCCTGTCCATTTGTTCATTTCTCTCCCCTAGAAGCTATATTAATATCTACGATATCTATTTTGACTGAAATAGCTAAAAAAAGACAGACATGTGTTTCCTATAAAATTCACCGTAAGTTTGTTTGTTACGTAATTATTACACGTTGTGTGTAAAAAGAGATGATTTTCTTATTTATTGTAATTAATAATTATGCGTACTCACCCATTGCATCTTGTCTCATACCAGTAACTGCCGACATGTTCGACGCCGAATGCGACATGGAAAATGGTTGTGTCATACTCGGATAAGACGTTGTGCCCATCTGCAGGAACAGATCCGTGTATAAATTAATCGTTTACTTGCACTACTTAACTATATTTCGAACTATAAATTATTTTTCTTGAATTTAAACATTTTATCGCTACGAACTTTTTATTTTTCCCATGGAAATTCGGTAAAGAAATAAAAAAATTCTAGGTATGATCAATCATTCGATGCTTGTTCTGTCTCTTTAGATACATGAATTTGCATAAACATTCGCGGTCTGATGGTAGCAAACTTTGGCGAATGATTACGTCAAAATGGAATTCTAACCAGGGACTCGAGGATCGATTAAGAGGACGTCGGAGCTTTTTTGCTGGGAAATCGGCACATTCGAAGAATTATTGGCTTAATTAAACCAGTAGGCATTCGGTAATCCGCCCGACCCAACTAATCAGTCTAAATGCAATTTAGGAACATCGACCGATAGCGATGCGCCGGACGCTCAGGTGCACTTCAATTTAATACCTCGGTTAAAATCATTAACGAGAAACGCATCGAATTCATCCGTTGGGGTACGATACCGTTGGCTGCTAGATTTGATGTATCGGTTGTCGCTCGAGCAATCGAAATCGAAAAATAACACGTAACGCGTCTATTTATGTCTATTTACGAAAGTCAGTTTATCAAATAGTCTTGTCTAGTATTTCTGTTGTGAAATTGTAGACTCACCTGAGGGTAACGATTTATTCCGTTTATGCTATTATGAGGATGAGGGTACGGTTGATAACCTCTGCTAGCACCAGGGTAGATGTTCCTCATCATGGCACCTTGACACGCAGGAATTGGAGTCAGAGCTTTCTGAAGCTGTTTCTCTTGTTTTCGATACTTCGCTCTTCTATTTTGAAACCAAACCTATTAACACAAGAAGAACAGAGTTTCAATTAGAATCTTGTGCATGAATGTTTCGGAAATTACATTACGTACTATTCTTTTGTTTCTCTTTTTATTCTTGAAAAATATGTTCATCCGTTCGTGGTCCTAGGATTGTACCGACAAATGTTGGTATGCAATTTAAAATAAAATATATATAAACCCTAGTATACATGTTGCTTTTTGCCTTTGCAAAATATTGGAAAGCTGTATAGTTTGAATTTTTTTAATTGCCTAAGTACTTGTCTTCCGTGATACTACTCGAGGCTGTTTTATTTATCGATTCGGGACAGACTTTGTTCATAGAAACTTGCATCGAAGAGTGCGAGTAAAGCGAAACGGCGCTATATTTGACGGGTAATACAATTTGCGTCAATGCATACTCGAATACTTTGAACTTTGACTTTTAGATCGAGGCTATTCCATACAGTAATTTATTCGCATCATCCCAACAACAAAAATGTCTGAACAAGACACGAGTTATTTGGAACACATTTTATTCGGAATAAAATTTGGCGCCGAGAAATACCGTTAGCAGAATAAGGGAAAAATAATACTGTTCGTCGTAAATTTATCTCGTTCTAAATAAAGAAGTTAAACGGTTTCTTATGTTTACAGTATTTTACGTTGGATGAATTTATATAGTAAATATTTAAGTAAGAACAGAGTTATTGTTTTAATTGTGAATTACTTTACCTTTTATGGCAAACAAGCGACTTAGTTTTAACACATCAACTACAATTATTTAGATTAGTAATTAATATCGACGGTCTAAATGCAAATTTGCCCCGCGTGCCATGCATTGAAATGAGAGTTTCAATTTGTTATGCGTCATGCCTCGCTTGTTCTACAATTTGCACATGTTCAGTTCAAAATAATGATGATACGTGTAAACTTTATCAGTAACGAATAATACATATAAATATTATTATATACAACTGACGAACACTTGATTCGAAGCTCGATATAGAAAAGAAATATGCAACTTTTTTTACTGTACACTATTACTACCCTACTGTTACTTTATCGTTTCCTCTTGCGCTTTCTAAACACTTTTCACACAAAATTGTTAGTACAATACTTTCTATTCCTACGATTCTCATCCTTGAAAAACCACCAACGCTATCAGTTATCATTTCGTTCGAAGTTATTTATCTGTTATTCGTTACACGAGATGTTCGTTCAAACAAGATTTTCGCCCTTCCCTGTGTCTTGGACGCGAAACCATAGCCGCGGGTATTTCAACGAGACGCATTTCGGGAAACGCTGCGTTTGTACAGGGGATGGGATGGAAAAAAAGAGAAAATACAAATAGAGAGACGGGGGTGGCAAAATAAAAAAAAAAAAAAAATGAAAACGACAAAAAGCGATAGAAGAAGGGGGACGGGAGAGGCAGGGATGGAAATGGAAGAACAGAGCGATGCTGGAGAAAAGAGCAGATAAAGCAGAGGGAGCAAGAGGGGTGAGCATGATCAGACCACCCTCTTGTGTCACCCACTTTTGTAATGGCGTACGCGCGCATGCGTGAGAGACAGAGATAGAGAGAGAAGTTCGGAACGAGAGAGAGGGAGATGGTGCACAGTAGAAATGTCGATAAAACGTGTTGGCCAATGAGAAAGCTGGAAGTGACGTCACAGCCGTGGCATTGGCCAATCAAAGGGCACCGGTAACGTCACCACGAGGGTGGAAACAACCCGACCCCAACCACGCCAGAGGAGGCTTTTCTCTTTCTGGGGGGTTGGTTGGAAAGAGAGGCTGGCTGATGGAGAACGGTAAGAACCTACCGAAGGGGGACGAAACGAATCGGAAAGGATAAGTAGGGATGCAGGACGTTCAGGGATTCAATGTAAGTAGATGCCAGAGAATCGCTGGTGGCAGGTTCAGGCACCCCCAATATGGGGCTTGCTAATCCCGCGAAACAATGGAAATTGCCCGATATAAAATGGCGATATGTAAACTACCCCATCCGAGGGAGTCTCCGCCCTGAAAAAATTATGGTATAAAGGTAACTCTATGCGGGAGGAACGCCAGCGGCTCGATGGGAGATAAAAGACATACCCAACGAAGGATTCGTCGCTGTAGCTGGTTCAGACGAGCGTTATTTATGCGTAAAAAATGATGCAAATGCAAACTTTATGGGAATCAACCTACACGTAGAACCTACACTTGACAGTCTTGCTTGCTACATTGGCTACCTTTGCTTCAGATTTTGCTACGAGTACAATAGTATTATTAGGTTGGCCAAGTTCTTTCGGATTTTAACGCACGAATCATTAAGTATACGAAATCATTGGAAACGTATGGAGGGTGTGTCGGTAACTGGTGGTCCAAGCGCGAAGGGGGTGATTCTACACGAAAAAATAAGTCGAAAATATAGAATAAAAATTGTTCACGTCAGGCTTTGTTTTCGAGAAAATCGACTTTGAATATTGTAACACAAGTCTGAGAAGAAATCTTTGTAAAGCTATCGTTAAGCTCGAGATATTCTCAGTGTAAGAGTCGTCGATTTATGATCTGCGCATACTTCGTCTGTACACGTAGATGATGCATTTACTTGGCTAGAACAGACCTCTTCTCGTGGATCTGATAAAAGTGGACGAGTTCTTTTATTTGCGACTGCTACGGAGAGCTTTTTGAGAACATACTAGCGCGCGTCCCTTAAGGCGCGCACCCTGCAAGAACTGGAAAGCTAAGAGTTCGTAATTCAATAAACCGTGCTCTCCAACCCTACCCCTCCCCCTCTGTCTCTCTTACTTCAACTATACATTCTCCCATAGAGGAGGATAGAAGATAGTGCGAGGGATGGGATAGCGAAAGTGCAGGCTCGCTCTCGAGGGGAGAACAGCTCAAAATGTCTGCTACTTTGAGGACCACGACCCAGAAAACTATCCTCCTCTACGCCTGAGAGAATACTCTGCACTCTGATAGCTAACCCGTGTACAGACAGAAAATGGATCTGGGAATAATGGTTACTTTCTAGCGGAGATCCTCTCTTTGTAACGTTTTCGCGCGAGTCCTGAGATAATATCGAGTGGTTGTTTCGGAAACGAAGGACCGATGGCCATGGAGCTGAATCTCAGGCAGAGCTTTTGTATTTGGACTGAGGAAAGCATTAGACTTTGCTACGTGCGTAGAACGATGAATTGAAATAAATAAATAAATGAACGAATGATACGATAAAGGTTCTGCAGATTAGTTCTATTTTTTAACATCTTTTTCTGTTTTCCTAACAGCCTAATGAAAGAGAAAACATGGATGGACAATTTTAATTTTTTTTCCGCGAATTCTCTTATTTCCTCTTAAATAGGAAGTCGATTTTCTCGTAAAACGCCCAGTAGATAGGCTTCGATCGGAAGTCGAATCGAAGTAAAAAGGTCGAATGAAAACTCGGCTAACTCAATATCGGGGCTCGGGTTCACCTTTCTTTTTCCTCGGCGTAATGGGATTTCTTGTGCGGTGATTCGAGAATTATTTTCTTACCACAATGCTACCCCCCATTTTTTTTTTTTTTTTATCATTATCATTAACGCGGACGTTTTCGTTAGATCTTCTACCAGTAATTTGTAAACTTTTCGCGTTTCTCTAAGGAATGTTTCTCAAGGAATTGCACATTTACGACATGCAACTTTTGTCTTCGATCATATTTATCTAAATAATACTCTTTCGGTATGGGGGAGTAATGTTTTCACTAAAACACGTAAATATGCATTCTGCCATTCTTTGAACTTTCAATATTTCATAATTATTCCGAACATCCTTTTTTTCAGGAGAGACTGTACGAGATCATTTGCACTGCGTTTAATTTTGATTATTTTTACCTGGAAAAAATTGTGTATGTTCTTAAAATGGGAATAAATGTGTGTGGAAAACCCTTTACAGAAATTCTTTATAGATTAAAAAAGAAGAATCCTGAAAAAAAACTGAAAATTTACGTTCTAGATTACAACATCCCCTTAAACAAACCGTCCACGAATAGTAGAACCGGTGTAAAGAAAAGTACCTATGCGAGAAAAATTGTAGCGAAAATTTCGCCGACGCTACTCGTCAAGAGTGTAAGGTTGAAGGATATTCATCGCAATAGAGGGGTCCGAAAGATGAGAAAAAGACAGAGACCTAACCCTAGGGAGGAAGTTCCCCTCGGTACTTTCTCTACTCTCTTCCCTATCTTCTTACCCCACGTCTCGTAGCGAAGGAAGAACCTCGGCAAGACCGAGACGGTTCAGATCTATCTAGGGTGGAGAAAATTCAATTTAAAATGGCGGCTCAGATATAATGGCAGCCTCCGGTACAGCGCCACCCAACCGTCCTCCCTCCCTCCCTCCCTCCCTCCCTCCCTCTCCCCCCCCCCCTCTCAACTCATCTCAACTTTGCCACCGATGTTCCCTACCTATTTCTCTTTCATCCGAAAGCACCCTGTTCGCGTGTCGCCATCTTCCAAGATACAAAATGCCATAACTAGCGCGGGAGCTTTTAAAGAATTCCGACGGACGAAATAATAGCCCCATGAAAATGCATTATGTACCAATATTCCCGTACATTATAGAAACTTTACATTATAGAAACTAGACGTTAGGACTTTGCTAGAAACCACGATTCTTACATTAAAGACGCTCGTATTATGGAAAACAATTCTGTTCAACTGCTGTTTTCCTAGGATCCGTTTAATTTCAAATAAAATACGGTACCTTGTGTTCGCAGGCTTTGTGTTCGTTATATGCCAATATTTCTCTGTGTATATATTTTCCAAGTTCTCGTCCATCTTTCAACATACAGATTGCCGTAACTTTAGCATTATTCGCCAATAAGGATTTGTTGACATCTGAAAAATTTCTTTGTGAAACGACATGAAAAATGTCACCAATTACTCTTTAACGCGTACTTTAAACATTCCGAAACTTGAACAAAAATTCAGAAAATTTTTCTCGCCAAAAAAAAAATCACGAACAAACACGCTAATATTTGAGCTCCCGGTGTGGTACCCCCCACCCCTCCCCCTCCCCCTCCCCCCCTCCCAATTCCCAAAAACTTGATTTAGTTGGAATCCGACCGTTCCCCCTTTAAACTGCTCGGCAAAACTGCAGCTCGATGAAGGAATTCGATCAGGAATCAGTTTAAAGAGAACCGGTCATTTCATAACGAAGCCATCGGGAGCCGAGTCGCTTTTGCATTCGCAGATGAAACGAATTCGTTCGAATGTCTCCGCCGGCGCGTTGGCGAAGTCACTTCCTGGCTGGACACTTTGTGCATGAATTACAGCCAGCCAGCAAAAGCAAACCGCGTTTTACTTGGCATCGCAGTTTAACAGGGTTAAGTCGCCGCGGTTCCCGGGCTTTTAACTCAAACAACGCCATCCTGCATTATATATCAAAAGAGCGAAACGCACTGGCTACTGTTTTAATATGTACCGCTCCGAATTCGGGGGTCTGCACGGCCCATGGCTTCCGCAGAGGGAACATAACGCGGATGGTGTACCGACCCACCATGCTTTCCATTTCCATCCTTCTTTAATGCCCTCGAAAACCGCACCTCAAACCACCTCGAATTTGCTGGCTGTCTACTTGTTGAAGTTTCGTGTTTCGACTGAATTATTACGAAATATTTGCTAACTTGGATATCAATGATAGATTGTTTGTTTGCCTATCTATTTGACGAGTCGTCTCGTAAATGATTAGAATCGAAGCTAGAAATAAGTAAATTTCAAAGACGGTACAAACTTATCGTCTATAGCTTCGTCCTTGAAAAGGTCAGACCGCATAATCACAGAATTTCTGCTTTCTGCTTTCTGCGTCGATAAATTTGCTAGATTCGTAACTGGTATCTTGATACCGGTATCAAAAACTCTCGGTGAAACTCCCACTGTTCTCTCTGATCGATTCTGCAAACCCTCGAAAGACACGGGGTGCCCTGAATCGACATTTGCGCCTGTAATTTCATTTCATCACCCTACATGCGTCTTTCATTCAATTATAGTGTGAGTCAGTATCAAAAATATAGACGACGGAAAATATATTTGCGAGTCTTTGTAATACTTTGCAAGCCAAGTAAAAAAGTTGCACCGGTAATAGAATTTTCGTTTAATTTTACCGAATATGTTACCAGATTATTTCTCAGAGAAAAATGATGTTAAATACAATTTTTTTCAAACGACAAGCAAGTACGTTAAGTCACTTAACTGATATCGTATTTTTCGTTGCTATTTAAAGTATGAAATTTCCATAATTTCGATTTAAACTAGTTTCTCCTTCGATAGAAAGGATTGTTTCGGTAGAATACTCTCGAAAACAGACTAAACGTAGAGTTGAACTATAAAGTAAATAATATAGTTTGTCATCGGATCATGGACGATTAAAATGGAGTTGTTTGTGTATAGTTCTTATATAAAATTCAAAAATTATATACAATTGTTTCATGTATAGGTAGGTTTAGTATAAAGAATTGTTAGATTGTCAATTTTTGTTTTATTTTTTAATGGTGAAATGCAACACACCCACCTGAATTCTGGCCTCGTTCAATTTGGTAGACCTCGCCAATTCCTCCCTACAGTATATGTCCGGGTAATGAGATTTTGCGAATGCCGATTCCAATTCTGCCAGCTGCTCCTGCGAAACAATTAGAAGACCATAGTAAAGCCGATCCGAACTACCCGACAGGAAATTTGAGCGCTATACGTAAAGGTCCTGGATCGAGGTAATCGAAACGTCGTTATCGATGGAAAGAAAGGGGAAAAAACGGGAACTAGGTTATCTGAAAGTAATCCCGATATCGAGGATCAAAATAATAGATGCAAACGACTGCGAGACGCAACGGACGTGTCGAATTCGAAAAATTTACGAACGCACAAAATTGTGTAACTGTTGTCGTAGACAGATAGGGTAGTAGCAAATACGAGTGTTGGGCGTAGAAATGAATTCTATGCTTTTATATTCCATCATTTGTGATTCTAGTAGAAATATTTATTTGTTATTTTGTTGCATTAAAATACGAATCTTTCAAGTCCTCAATTTAATCTCCATGAATTTGTAAGAGTATAATAATAAACAAAATTTCAAAGCTACTAAAGTTCGTATAGATTGTAATGGCCATCAGGTTGAGACTTGGCTTATGCGTATATACATAGAGATATTGTAATAGAGATCAGGTTGAGGACTTGGAAGATTAGTATTGAAATGTACCAAAATGACAAGTAAGTCATCGAGTAAGTATCTATCACAACAGAACAAATACAAATACAAATCATTTTGTATTATCTGTGATATAATAAAATTTAGATTCAATTATTTAAGTCGGAAACTACATAGTACTAGAACTAGAAAGGAATATAGGTGCACCAATGTCTCTGTATTGAAATGCGAGGGATTGAACAAACATTTCTGTACTGCTCTAAAATTAATATTAATTACGTTTACTTAATTATTCACGGGCATAGGAGCGATTTACATAAAGAAATATAACATTTCAGAACAAACCTGCGTGAAGGTGGTCCTGTGTCGCCGTCGGGCAGGCGTTGGACAGCTAGCGGTGGTAGGAGTATGGCCGATGTGAGGACTCGAAGCACAAGGATCGGGCTTTAACTTTTTAAAAGCTCCCTCCGCACCTGGAATTGAAAGTTTACTTAAAATAACTTCAATCACGCTTCAAACGTATAGCTGTACGTATTAGGTGTAGAAATTAATTTCGTGCAACATTTAATCGTTTATAACTGTAGCTTGAGTAAAAATATTTACTCATCATCCTGTAACGTTAAATTACCAACCGTCTAAGGCCTCGATCTGATCTCACACGGATTACGATATAATATGGATAACAGTGAATCTATACAGAATTGAGATTAAAATTCTCAACCTGAAGACCTACAATTACATATTTACAATATTTTTTATATATATTCCTTTTATATCAAAAATTTCCGTTCTATTCTTAAAACAACAAATTTAACCTTTCAGAGACGATTTTCTTTTTTGTTGATATCAAATTTTTGTTATTTTTATTATTGACAGTAATTATAATTATAAAAAACTAAACGTCCAGATTGTATGTGACGCAAAGAGGTATCACTTTTTATTATCAAAATAATAACTTGGATTACGCATCTGCATTAAAAGTTGGTGACCAATGCAAAACGGTTCAAATTTGGCTGGCAATGGATAGGTTAAATTCCTAATTGTTATCATACAGAGCGAGTTTGAATGAAAGTTGGGAAACCTTTGGGACAAACGGTGTATTCCCTCGTGGCCCACCCGAAGAAACACGACGCGGCTCACTGTGGACCATGACGTATTGAGAATCCCTGGGTTAGTCTGCGGGGAGCTCCGCAACAGATAGTTAACGCGACGCACTATCTCAATAAGTCTGCGTTCGTCTTGGTTGTTTCACGGTATCGGCTTTATGAACGAACGTGCGAACGTACGGTCGGGGTAACCGTGGCGAGTGAAGTCCCTCGCACTATGCTAACTTGGTTAGGGCGTTAATGACCTAATCATGTTACATGCTGATTCAATGTTCAAGGATGAATGCTGACCACTTTACATACCTTGTCCCGTTTCCCAGTGAACAGTGAAACTCGGTCAAGTTCAACGAGAAGACGGGGAACCCCTTACCATCTGTTTCTTGACGAAACGATCGACTTCTTGATAGAACCTTACGTACCAATCGACATCTTTCGCGAAGAGTTCGATCGTCGCCATTTTAAGCCAACTCTAGCTTGGAATATATCTTACCACTGATTCAGAAAAAAGAATTCTCTTTGTTTCATGAAGAATCTTCGGTCTTAAGGATGGAGCTGATTCTCGCGTCACAGATTTTGATCGCGGTGATCGACACCTTGTTAAAACATTTGTTAGGTCGCGATTCGACCTTGATAAACGTAAAAACAGGTACAAAAGCTCATAAATAGTAATAATAGTACTATTTAATGGTAAGACTTCAGAAGTAAGAATATAAAGAATATACGAAAAATAACTTTGGGTAATGGTTATCAAAGTTCTGTAAACGTGGCAAATAAGTTAGGTTGGCCTGACCGAACCAATCTTATCTTATTCTTATCAAAATACTAATAGACGGTTGGAACAGACATGTGTAAGTCAGAGAAGAATTATATCGACAAGTAGTTGTTATTTTAATCATTTCAGATACATATACTACGTATAATGTATGCGTATATTTATTTTTAATCAGTCCGGTACAAAATTGCCCTCCTAAACCAGTTTTCTACTTTTCTGAATAAGGAATCTTCGGGGAAGGTTGTAGCAATTGGGGAAAAAGGTGTCCAAGTATAATTGCATTGACCGTAAACTGCATCTGTCCCAGAATAACGCGTTCCAAATAATTACCAACGATTTCAACGATGTGGAATACACACTTTGACAAACGACATGATCCATAGAATTACCAATAATGCAGATTCTCGTAGATCTCGCAGCTGCCCACTAATGGGCATCTGCTTTCAAGCTCTCGTTGGCATCCACAACTAACTCGATCGACTGATTTTCTTTGTAATTTGTTGTCTGTCCGTCAAATGTCCACGTGTGTCATTATAACGACAACATCAAGCATTTATTTATTAAAGGATTTCCAAAAATGATTTCCAGAATTTAAATTCTAAGGACAAATTCTAAGAACAAAGTTTCAGCCTCGTATAAGCGATCGCAAGTTCGCCAGTGAATGTGTCGTCACTCAGAAAAGGTACCTTCGACGTTCTAAATATTCATCGAGCGCCGTGCGCGTTTTATCACCGATGCAAAAATAAAATAGGAAACTTTCTAATTGGAATTAATATCGAAATAATACGAAGTTCAACAGGTCGCGCGTGGTGCATCCCGTTACATCATCGCAGCCATTATTATTCGATAACGAATTTCATACGACGGTGGCAGGGGTCCGGTTTATCGAGAGAACGTTTAACGTTGGGCTTTCTTTCTTTTTTCTACCCCCGTCCAAGGTCAGACTTTCCGGAAACAAGACGAGACTGCCGTAGCATTCATGCAAATGAAACGCGACGAGAAAAAAGAGGACAGGAACCGAGAGGCGGCGAAAGAGTGAAACTGGGGATGGAAAAATTAATTTCGTTAACCCCCTTGCGTTCTCCGGGGCATTAAAAGTACTCAAGCGATGGTCTTCCGCGCGATTCCCTTACCCCTTTTAAAATGTGAGCCCGCGAAATCTTTCTGCTACGAATGACGGCTGCCGACTTTGAAACGAGGATCTAATACTGCTACTTGAGAACAAACTTGCGAGAAACTCTCTCCGTCGCAGATGATGCAAGTTTCTTTTTCTATTTGAGGAGAATATCGTGTATACGCCGGAATATTCGCGTCGTGACGGTATAAAACTGTTTATTCTTATTGCGACTGCAATGTTACAATGTTTCTTTTTTTTTTTCTTGTTTTTATTTCAACTGCCTTCAACTGGTATTAATTGCGAAAACTGAAATACTCTCTATACCATAAACGTAATATATAGTGCTATAAAAATATATAAAATTATTCATCAACGGAAACGACGCGTGTATCACGCGAAGTATACACAAGGAAAATTCAAATGAAATAGAGAAATGTACAAATAAAAATATATCTTGGACCGACCATCGATATCTTTTTGAAGTCAAAATAGAAGTCACGGTAAATCTATAGATATAAAATATGATGGGGGATGAAGATAGGACAGTTTCACTGTTTCGATTCAGTGACACACGCTTGGGTGACAATACTTGACGCCTGGCTACGTCCAGCGATTATAGACGAACCCCCATTAGGCCACCCTTAGCGCTAAGCTCTCTTAAACCCCATGAACACATAATAATAGCCTATAGAACAGGTACTACCATATGGTCCAGTCCCCGCACCCTATTGTCAACAACCTTGTCCGATCGTCTGTCAATGTACATGTGCACTCGAGGATTAACAAGCGGAAAATTCATCTATATCGAGATGACACGTTGCCCATTTTTCTCTCAGAGTCATCCTAAAGGTGTCCTCTCTCCTACCCCGATAGAAAATTAAAAGACATCTTCTAATATCGAGACTGATTTATACATATAAATTTAAGAGGTTACTTTCATACATTTTCGTTAAGATTTGAATAATTGTTATCGTAAAGTGTAGCGCAGGGGTTTAATCACGAGATAGTATCTGTTTGTGTTTATTTATATTTATCTGGTATTTAGCTATTCGTCTGCATACTTGCCTTCGCAATTCTCAGAAATTCATTTATATAATCGAAAATAGTAAATCAATAATAATAATAATAATAATAATAATAAATAACTGTATAAGAGTTGAATAATTCGGAGAATAAACTAATGAAATTATTTATAAAAAATAAATCATCCAAGTACACGACTGTATGATTACTATGTGCTTTCAAAATGTTATAAATATTGTTGAAACTACTTTCACGCAAGTTTAGATGTACGTGTGATCGAGTTATAAATTTAAACAAATCGGTTGCGAGTAACGTGAATTTCATAGCCATCAGTTTTTATTTCCCCGACGCATTATCGTTGATGCTACAATTGAACTTGGTTATAACGAGCACTGAAATAATGAGATCACGGCTGTAACGAGCAGAAAGTGATAATGATTTTAATTTACCTGTATTCCCGTGCAATTGCCTACTTTTATAACAAACGTACCTGCACGAATATATCGTGGAAATTTGGGGAAATTTGAGCGATATCAGAACGGAACCTTTAAAAACAATTATATTAGTTTATATTACGGAATCATCAAATCTTCAGTTTATTTATTACTAATTAGTAGGATGAGGATCTTTATGCAAAATGAAATCATTGAAAACGCACCTACAAGAATTGAGCCTAAATAAGAATTTATTTTACTCTGCAAATATTATAACACGAACTCTATTTTCAATGGTTTTTATTTTTATATTGTTGCGTGTTCGCGAGAAAAACATTACTCGATGTTAATTTTATTCAAAAATACAAACAACGTTCGTGTATCTATGTTATTCCTTTCTAATCTAATATTTCTTCAGTTTCTTGAATCCAGATTTCAAATTATTGAAGAAGAAGAGATAGATTCTACTTATTATGGATATTAGCCAACAATTATTAAAATGATGGAATTTTGATGGTTTCCTGGTGCTCGTTATAATCAAGCTCGACCGTCTTTAACTCTTAATTGCAATTATGCGGTTCTAGAATTGGCGTCAGGTATCAAAAAAGACTCTCATAAACGCCTGAAAATTTGATTTTCTAACCGAACGATCCCATAGCTCCACTATAAAATTGAATATAACACTCGAAACATTTGATACTATTAAATGTTATTAAACACACATCCAATATAGAATTTATCAACAGAAATTCTATAGTACTAATTTAGAGTGCGTATTAATTATTCATCAAAGTTAGTAATTTTCTAGACACTTATCAACGGTACATATCTAGCCATTTGTGCAGCAAATGCTGTCATCTACCCGTATCTAGTATCTACCCAGCAACCACGTGCGCTTAAAAAAGATTGCAACGAGATCGTAGAAGAGAATGCTTACCAACAGTGGAAGTGGCTCCGACGCTGCTTCTTCCGGGCGTCGCGGCGGGTGTTGGCGGGCTAGCCTCGAGGCCCTGGTGGACCCCATAGAGGCCGAAATCTTGCTCGTTCGAGCTGGTACTGCTGCACTTCCTCTTCTCTTGGTTGTGATTCAAGTGAAAGCTGTCGTTCTCAACGAGACCGACGCCGAGCAAACCGAGGTTCGGCCTTAACTCGTCCATCAGCTTGTTCTGGCCACAGTTGGCGGCGGCGGCCGCGGAGAAGTTCAGCTGTCTGCTGAAAATCGCCGGGAAGATGTTGAACTGTTGGTGGTCGAGGCTGAGGGCTGTCGTCGGTATCGACGAGCCGCCGCCACTCCCGCCGACGGAGGTGCTGCCGACGGAACCGACGCCTGCACCCGGACCCCCGGTACCTCCGGACAAATCGTTAGCCAGGGTGATGCCGGGGTGACCTTGTCGAGGTCTCGCGTTCGTTATGCTCTTCACGGGTCCTCCACCGCCTACCAGGACATCCTTCGTCGCTCCCTTCAGGAGGAACCACGAGCGGACGATCCGGAGGAAAGCTGAGCTGGTTGATAGCGGTAGTAGCGGTAGTAGCGGTAGTAGCGGTAATAGCGCCAGGGGCCCAGTTACATCGATCTACGCGAATCCAAGTGGAGGAACCGTATATTTTTGGATCCTTCTTTCTAGTCTATTCGATCGAGACGAGAATAAACAATCGTTTTCTTGCGGAATCCCACCCGATGCTTTGCTCGGATCGTTGATGTCCTTACGAGGGATTTTCGAGTTCTTGAGGTCTTGCAGCAGTGATGCTTCTAGTTTTCGACTTTATCGTACTCTCGACTCCTTGTTAGATTTCTATTGCTCGATGCAGTACAATTGTTTCCTTGCGAAACCTCACTTAACGACTCGCTTATATTGTTGAATCTCCTTCCGAGGGAGTCTCCAACTAAATCTTGAAGTCTTCTAGCCGACCAGAGATTCGACTAAATTGAACATGGATTTAGTCAGTTTCCTGTGATAGCGACCAGCTACATCCATTTACTCGGATCGAAACAGTGTATGCTTCTAGTTTTGAACTTTGTCGTGACTCTCAACTCCTTATTCTATTAGTATAGGATAATCTTGTTTTTTATTCTATTCCATGCTCGATGCAGCAGAATTCTTTCCTGGCGGATCCTCGCTGGACGACCTGCCGATGTCGTTGAATCTTCGCGCGAGGATCTCGAATTAAATCTTGCGGTCTTCTAACCGAACCGAGTCGACTACTAGAATCTGGATTTACTCCTCGATCCCCGAATCCGATAGCGACGCGTTACGTCGATTTACTTGGATCAAATTGCTTACATCGGTCGCAGTATTAACCTTCGAATCAAAGTAGTAGATGATGTTACATTCGACTCGTGCAAGATGCAGAAGACTCGTTTCTTTGTAGAATATCACTGGAAAATTGCCCAAGGTCTCTTTTCTTTCCAACTCTTTTACGAAGAGTCCCCGAGTTCCCAGTCGAATAAAGTCTGAATCGATCCTCTTCGGAAATATCTCTATGGTTTAGACGCAGGCCTCCGATAGCTATTCGACGGTGGCTCCTAGCGTGTCAATAAGATCGTGGATTAACTTATTTATTTATTTAGTCGGTGGCTACAACAGGAATTGAATAGTACCTCTCCCAGAGCCTTCCACGAGTCTAGAACTTCCAAGACGGTTCGTTCGGGGCGCACATGTTCGCAGAATTCACTTCTCCTTCAACACAACATCGACACTGTTCGAAAACCGATCCTGCTGGTTTCTCGGCTCGTGAGTCCCCTCTGGCACTTGGATCTCTTGTCAAGAAGTCGATCGCGGTGTTTTCCTCCAAAGATCGTCCATGAACGACGTACCTAGTGATCCTGGTTCCCTTCGAAGGGCGTGAGTTCAGAGCTGTTCGATCTACACTGGTGTCCTTTCGTCTCCGTCCGAAAGCAGGGGTTCTCAACCGACGGTCGATGTCATCGGTGATTCCCACTGGCTCTGGTACGCACTTCCGAGTCTCGGTCCTCGCGGTTGCCCTCTCGATCCAAGTTCACGGGCGTCAAGTCCCGATATCGTGGCCGGCCGAAGACAAAAAGGAAAAGCGTAAACCGAAGCTTCCCGTCTTTTTTTCGGCGTATACTCGCGAGAAATACGGCGTGGACGTCGAATGCGCGTACGGCAGGGAGGACGCGAAGGGGGTTGGAAAGCGGCTGGGTAAGGGCCGAGGAAAGCTTGGCCGGTTAATCACGGGCGGACGTTATCGCTACCGTGGCCTCGATTCGAAAATTTCAATCCGATTATCCGGTGAATGCAATTAGATGGGTCGGAACCAGAGGGTGACAGGAGGGTGGGATACAGGGGGAGGGAGGGGGGGTTGGTAAGTAGCACGAGGAACGGGGTAACCCCCGGGCTCTTGAAAATTCAAATATCGAAATAATTGTCGTGAAATGGCGCGTGCCCCGCTCGCGACCGAGGAGTGGCTGTGCCGCGGCGTCGCGAAGACAACGACGACGGATATAGTGGTAGCCGTCCACGATGACTGCCCTTCCTTCTCGCAGTATAACGCGTTACGCAGAGGAAAAAGCCGAAAACGATACGAGAATCGGCCGTGTTAGAGGGGCGACCGCTCGCCGTGAGTTCTTGTGGGATTCTGTCCACGAAATGCAGTTATCCCGGTGACTTCGCGGGGGGATGGAAGGAGGAGGAGGAGATGGACGATGAGAGGAGGGGGGTGGCAGAGAACATTTAGAGGGGTTGCTACCGATGGTAGGGGGTCGTTGGCTGTAACCAGTGCTCCCTTTCGTCCCCTCGTCGGCAACCAGCGTCGAAAGCACGAGGTTCCCGTACCTACGTTCCCATTGGACGCGCGAGGGAAGCGTTACCCTGACGACCGCCAATCACGGCCACCTGCCACTCGCTGCGCCCCTACCGTCGCGGCAAGATGGCGGACTTACCAATAAAAATTCTTCTGGGAAAATAACCTGCGAGCGATTTTCTTTCCTACCCTGCTGTCTAGCTTTTCCCAACGTCTCACACGAGCGAATCGGCCGCGTACGTGTCACCACCATCGACTCAACGATAGGATCGTCCCTTCCTACCCGTTCCTGCTTCTCGTCCTATCCCTCCGTTTCTACCTCGTCTTCGTCGTCTTCCTCTCGTCACACTCTTTCCCAACCCTTAACATTATACGCTCGCTCGGTCTCTCTTTTTTCTACCTCCGCGCCCGTCTTCCTTTTTATTATCCCGCCGACTAGATAGCTTTTTTAATTCTTTTCCTAACCACCCGACCCCCCTATCCGACCGCCACCCCGTCCTCCAGGCCGTTTTCGGTATTTGACTGTAACGTACACCCACGTCTGATCCGGCTACTTTTGCGAGCGAACAACCCTTTGTTGCGCGGGGCGTCGTTTACCTGCGAGCTGCGTTCGAGTTCGCGCTTCGTAATGAAAAAGATAGGTTTTCTAACGAATTTCCTCTCTCGCGCCGCCACTCGCCCCGCGCGCCACGTTCGACCGTCTTTGTATTCCCGCGCTCAGCTTTTCGCTAGTAATTCGGTAAGTGAGTCTGGAAGGGGGCCCGGTCCCGAGGTATCGTGCGTGAACATTTTGTTCCTGCTCTTTTTTTTTTTTTTTTCATCCTTTTATCTTGTTTAGCCTCTCTTGTGTTCCTCGTCTGGTTCTATCACCGTGGCCAGGCTTTTAACAGTGCTTTTCATTATTTCGTCGCAACGAACGTGTTTCCGCGTCTTTTTGGCTTTGGACGCTCTCATTGATACCAGACCACCCCGAGGGGAAATTGAATTTCGTCGATGGGACCTCCACGGACCGTTATTTGTCATTTGTTTCGGTTTATCGTGTACCGTTCTACTCGCAAAAACTACGAGTCGAAACCTTGGAAATACATATCTTCTTCGTCTGTTACGTGTATACACGTTGCTATGGACACTCCAGATTTGACTTTCGAGTTTTCTGAAATTTAGAACACGATGCTAGTTGGATAAAAAAAATATTATTTTTGAACGACCAGAACATCGTATTCGAGACACAGGCATCAATTTTGTTTGAAACGATTCGATTCGAGTCATCTTATACAGAATTTTCTAAAATACCCTCGGGATTTCATTTCTTAACAAAACACAAGTACAGAATATATTTGCATTTTATGTATTTATAAGAAAATTTAACGTGCAAGAAACTATAAAACGCACACATAATATTTGCAAAGTAAAATAAATTCCTACTTTGGTTGAATTTCTGCAGGTTTAATTACTAAAGCTTCTTTTTGAAAATATTTAACGATGTGATTGAAATAGGTCCATTTAAAATAAATCGATGCATGTGTTTCGATTACAATGGTTTGGTCCTCATTGAATAATAATAGTAACCTGGAAAAGTGTACATGTACTAGACACGAGGGTTGAATTTTCGTTTTTTCCTTCCCTTCCGCTATCGCGATTTTGGTCTGGCGATTTTCAGCAATTTCGAGCCCCTCCCGTCATCCGAAATGATGCACGTGCTCAGGGTTGGCCGAGTCGAAGGTGGTCCCACGTTCTCTTACAAACTTGGACAAAACCCTTCGATTCGTCTACTTACTCGACGCCCTCTTCGTTCGTCCCTCCTTCAGAACGCGGCGAGAGAGTTCCTTCGGCCGAGGGTGAGATCGAACAGCCGTACAGCCGAAGAGTATGAGAAAGAACGGCTACGAAGGAGAAGCGTAAAGTTTCGAGAGCTTCAGCGTCTTGGAAGTTTCGCCAAGTTTCAGAAAAAAGAAGTTGGTCATCGTTTCCGGCAGTGATAGCAAAAGTCAGTTCGTTAGCTAGATTTTCCATATCTGGGTCATGCGCGAACAGCAATACCACGAGCACGAGCACCATTAACGTCTCGTCGAATCATTCATCGAACACAAATTGCTATTAGCTGGTTGTACAGTAAATGAAATGTTTGATTCTGTGGAGAAGATTTAAAAGAAATTTTTAAAAAAATATCAATGTATTTATTATTTGAGCAATTTTGACAGCTGACGTTTATTTTTGTAACTTTTGTTTAAAAGAACATTACGCGATGGTAATAAGATTATTTTAAAAGTGTCTAGGTTTGAGCTCGAACAGGTTCTTTATATAGAGACGTTTTCTACGAGATGAAAGAAAATCGATGATCTAGGCAACCTCGAAACAAACAACGTTGCGAAAAAATTCTTCGTAGATTCTACACTGTACGTGAGCGATTTAAAAATTCCCTTTGTGATAGATCACTCAGTTCTGTGTAAATTTTTCATTCATTGACACGTCGACTGGATCGTGACAAACGAGCCCACACGTTTGTAAATAATCTTATTATCGATACTCTTATAGGACGCCATATTCGATATTCTTCAAGCTTCTTTGTTAAGTCTATTATTTATTTTTAGGGGTCATTCTACGACTCGATTCGACATTAATAAACTAAATAAATCTCGATGTACTTAAACAATAAAGAAATTAATTCAAAGCATTGTTTAAATATAACTGGGAGTTATGGTTGCGTAGAAAATGTAGACGTTGCGTGTGTAAATAAAAACACGTGTGAATATTAATTAGAGAAGAAGTTTTTTCACATTTTTCGAAGCACAATAACGTTTGAGTGGACTTCATGAAGCTATTATACACACACACTACCACGTATCGCACTACTGGTAACATAATGCGGTTACATGGTTGCGTCGAATATTTTACAGGGAACTCTTCACGGTTTGTTTTACGGCATGCAATTTCGCGCGACGACAAATACGCACGACTGCGTGCATGGTAATAATCGTGCAATCAATGAATATCTTAATTCTTTTGACTGGACCGCCAACTTTTTAGAATTGCCACGTAATTGTAATTCGATCTCAAATTCACTGAACACAAATATTATGGTACATTTTATCCAAATAAACACGGTTTACTTATTTAGTAAACGTTTGGAATTTTGATTTAGTTTCTCTTCGGTCCAACACGGTAAACAATTATATTATTCTTATTATTGTTATTAAATTTTCATGTAGACTTGACACTGTCATGTATATACGGTATGCTTTAAGGGTAGAACATCGATAAACTTTTGTCGATGAAGTACAAAAGAAAAGGACAGCAATTTCATCTCTTTGAATCGCTCTTTGAAAACAGAACGCCCACCACACGTGTCGCCATTCTTTTTAAGGACTGCTACAGCAAAAACTTGACAGCGTCAAAAACTGGCCAATTCGAAGATGGAAACCACCCCATCGAGGTTTCTCTCTGTTCTCGATAATAATTCAATCAAGTCTCTTTAACACTCCTCTTTGTGAACGTTTCCCATGATTCGAAATGAAATTTACTTCTATAATAATCTTTCTATGCGCAACAAAGTTAATTATCTACCACAGGTTTTCTCATAGTTTATTCACTTTGGAATATGAAATATTGTTTTGGAACCCATTTCTGGGTAACAATTATTTTATTCTGTAAAAAACTACTACATTCGATTACACTGAAAAATTGACAAAGCTAACGTTACGATTAAAATCCTGAATTTGTTTACTTTGAAAATTTAAAGAAAGATCGATTTAATTACGGAATGAAATCATTCCGTAGATTTATTCGTTCATCAAACAGTAAGGGACTCGAAAATTTGGTAATTTAATATTTAAACAGCGAGATAGTAAAAGATTCAATGTGCACGAGTGCGTGCATTTGAATATCGTCGAATACGAATTCCACATGGATTTCCATGTAACGTCAAACCACTGTTTCTACATGATCGCCGTTTCACGGATCTAATTTGTAAGGGGTAGATCGCCTAGATTAGATCAGATCTTTTCGATTGGAAAGCCGACGGTATACATGGACCATATGCAGGTTGTACTTTATAAGGGTGCTCCGAGCGCACTATTTAATCGATAAGATGCAAAAGTGGAGATAAACTCTCCCGTAACTCTTCGAAACGGCTTTTCTACGCAGCAAAATATACCTACTTGAATACTGGATCATTTCCATAAATTATAAGCATTCAAAACTTGATGTTCATTCAGATTCTTATCGTGGATTAAAACGCCATTGTTTCTCGATGTTCATGTTCGTTGTTATTCGTTTAACAAAATAATTATAATAATCGTTACGCATTTTCACTGTACTGAAATAGCATAAGCTTGAATAACGCGAAAAACAATAATGTGTAATATTGTTTGCTTAAGGTAAATAAAGCTTGCGTATTCTCAACGTAAAAATATCTTTCCGATCGTTGATTGGAATCATGCTTTGGTTTGGTTGATAATTATACTTCGCCCATACGGGATATCCGCCCACTCATTTCCTCGTGTGGCGCATGCGCCAATTGGAAGTACACTCGTTCGTGGTATAATCCTAAATACATAGCTCATTGAGCTGGAACCATGTACCCTTACATATTCTGTATTTATCCAACAAATCCGAAAACATTGTATACTCAACTTTGATTAATCGCAATGGTAAATATATTTAAAACAAAATCGTTCGATTCTTGGCACTGGTACCGACAACTGACACTGCTTTGTAAATTGACAAAGTAATTAAGAATAACATTGACCAAAAAAGTTTGTTAAAATTTAGCACTTTAACTTTCCTTTTAAAATTCTATATTAACAAAATGAAATGCTTGCTTTGATAGATCGTAGACGGCACAAAAAACATTTCGATTAATCCGTTAATTGTCGTTTCAATTTCCCATTATTTCATCTATATACAGATTCAAATAAATAAGATCCTCAAAATCGAACGAAAATACTTTTGGCAACG